AAAACGAAGACAGAACACACACACATACCCAGCAGGCCCAACAGTATAACACACGCAGTCACAGGAGCAAGACACAACAAAAGCACAGTGAGTATTATTTAAAAAAAAAATTATAATACCACAAGTAATAAATAAAATACGGAACGCGGTATTAATGAATAAAAAATTCACGTTACAGACACACACACAATAGTGAAGGAGTGCTCCAACAGAGGAGGATGGGCGTGACTGGCGTAGTGAGGTGCGACGTAGCGATGAGGAATCCTGAACAGTTTTAATATTTTTAACGTTTGACATTTGTCAATGTATATGATAGATATATATTTTAGTTATTTTAATGTGAGGACAAGGCATGCAATGAACTAGTTTGGCGTGGATTGAGTAAGCACCTGAAGATGGCATTTTTATGCTGAAACATGTAATGCAAGGGAGAGAAGGAGATAGATGAGTGTATGCACTGCAAGACGGTTTAAATAAATCATGCACCTTGTATATATTATAATTGTGCATGAAGAATGGTGAATTGGTTCTTTGTAAAAGACAAGCATAATGTCACATGTTAGTGACTAGACATGGGGTTTATATTGGTAAATTAGATTTACTGAACACTTACACCTGGTAACTACAAGTAATTATAATACTACCACTAATCCATACACTTAAGAGATCACTGCAGCATACATTGTCCCTTCACATACCTGTTGCTTGGTACTTGCTCCGAACAGTGACATCTCTTGACTCTTGAACAATACGCATTATATAGCCTCAGTGCAGATCATGTAGAAGACACTGCATCCAGCAGTTTCTCTATTTTGTTATGTTGATTCTCCACCAGTTCCTCAATTGTTGCATACATATCTGTTTTCACGGAAAGGTGTTTATCGGCAGTTGCCCAGCAGCGGACAGCTTCTCTTGTTAAATTATTGTCATCCCACAGTATATTATTGGCTACTGTTATTTAAAAATTGAATAGGTATATATTATCACAGATGCTTTAATTTAAATGTAGACATTACTTGGTAACCGTCAGTATTTGGTGCTGCTGTAGAATTGCTTTGAGGTGATGGAAGAAAGAGACAGTAGGACCTATAACTACTTTATTTTCATGCCACATTTACTTTATATTTTCTTTCATGGTTTTAAATTTTGTTATTGTATTATTAGAGGGGCACCTGGTAGCGTGGTTGGTTGAGGCACTATGCTACAAGCCGGAAGGTCACAGGTTTGAGTCCTGATGAGGATGGATTTTTAATTTGACCTAACCCTTCCAACCACACTATGACCCTGGGGTCGACTCAGCCTGTAACAGAAATGAGTACCAGGAATCTTCCTGGTGGTAAAGGGCGGCCAGTGCGTAAGGCTGACAAACTCACTGCCATCTGTGGGCTGATTGTCTAGAAAATGTGGGAGCCTCAATGTCTCACAACCCTATGGGCCTTCTACCCTGTTACAGAGATAGCTTTTATTGTATTATTGTATACAAGGTCCGTATAAAAAGTATCGGGAAAAGTTCCGGGAAAATAGATTTATTTCAGATATTGCTACAATGCCTCAAAATTCTACAAAATACATCCCTTGTGCATTGATACACTTTTGCCAACGGCGTTGCCACGACACGAAGGCTCCCTGGTAGGCAGATTCCGGAAGGTCCTTAAGGGTCCGCGTGCAAGCCTCTTTGACGGCACTCAGGGTCCCATGATGGTGCCCTTTGAGGGAGGATTTCACTTTCGGGAACAGGAAAAAGTCTGCTGGTGCCNGTTGCAGAAGGTCTTCGCAAGCAGCCACTCGTCTCTGCTTTTGGTCGTCCGTCAAGACCTTCGGGACGAGTTTTGCGCAGACCTTTCGCATCGCCAAATCTTCAGTGATAATGGTGTGCACCGTCATCTTATCAATGCCAACACGATCTGCAATCATGCGCACACTTAACCGACGGTCTGAATTGAGTACGTCACGCACATGTTGCACGTTGTCGTTGGTTCTTGACGTCGACGGCCGTCCACCACTGGGCTCATCCTCCACACTCTCTCGGCCACTTTTGAAGAACTTGTGCCACTTAAAAACTGCAGTTTGTGACATGCTTTCATCCTTGAACACTTGGCGAATCATGCCCAACGTCTCCGTACCCGATTTCCCCAGTCCAACACAAAACTTGATGGCGTACCTCTGTTCAATCGTTCGCTGCATTCTGCGCTTGCACCGACTCACTCGACAGGGGT